GTGGAAAGCAGGGGCACGACTTGATCAGTTTTCCATTTATAGACTGCTGTGGTTGTCCCTTGGAGAAGAGAGCCAAAGCCGGCATTTGCAGACCCTGCACATTAAAACCACCTGGGGAGCTTTTAGAAGCTAGCAAGTCCAGCTCCTATGCAGAGCAATTAAGCAATTAAATCATAATATTTGGCACTTAGGCCCAGGCATTGGGATTTTTTTTGTTTGTTTGCTTATTGGTTTTGTGTGTGTGGTCAAAACGTTAATTACTTAAGGATTTCTGGAAAAATTATAGAATACAAATGATTATATCATCAAAGCATTATGGATTTTCTTTGAAATACAACCTGTTTAAAGCAAGGGTAGAATAAAGCTTTGTAGAAGAATCCAATAAAATAAAAACTGTACTGTAAACTTTTAATTGAAGCTAATGTTGTTGTTAGGTGTGATCTAGTTGAGTCTGACTCATAGCGACCCTGTGAACAAAAGATCTAAACCCTGTCCTATTCTGCACCATCCTCATACTTCCTAACACATGAGAGCCTATTGCAGCAGTCGTTGTGTCAGTCCACCGGGTTAAGGTCTTCCTTTCCTTCACCCACCTTCACCCTTCCCAACATCATGTCCCTCTCCAAGGAATATCACCTCCTAACAGTATGTCCAGGCTATAGTTTTTGCAATTACTTGCTATGCATCGGAGAGTTGGACAGTGAACAGGGATGATAGAAAGAGAACTGATGCCTTTGAGCTGTGGTGCTGGAGAAGAGTGTTGTATATACCATGGACTGCTAGGAGAACAAAAAGGTTTGTCTTGGAGAAGGTGAAGCCAGGATGTTCCCTGGAGTCAAGGATTCTGAAGCTTCATATGACATACTTTGGTCATGTTGCAAGGAGGGACTGGTCCTTGGAGAGGGACATCATGTTTGGGAGAGTGGAGGGGCGGCGCAGGGAAGGAAGACCCTCAATAAGATGGATCGATTCTGTAAGTGGAGTGGTGGAAATGAGTGTGTGTGAGATGGCAAGGTTGGCACAGGATAGAACAGCATTTAGGGCTCTTGTACTTAGGGTCGCTATGAGTCGCAAATAACTTGATGGCACATAAACAACAACAACAGTATGTCCAAAGTATGTGACATGAAGCCTCATCATTCTTGCCTTCAGAGAGCACTCCAGCTGTACCCTCTCTAAGACATATCTATCTGTTTTCTTGGCTGTCCATGGGATGGTCATTGCTCATCTCTAACACCAAGCTCAAAGGCATCAATTCCTTTTCGGTCATCCTAACTCATTGTTCAACTCTCAGATGCATAACAAGTAATTGGAAAGACCATGGCCTGAATGAGACGCACCCTTGTCCTCAAACAGATATCATTGCTCCTCAATAATTTGGAGCAGACCTTAACTGCAGATTTTCCCAGCTAACAGGCATACAGAAACAAGCACAAATCATAAATAAGTACTCATTACATTTTGATAAAGTGAACATAGCAGGATCTGGATCAAGACACTGAACACTGTCAACTCCTCTCCACATACTTCAAGTATTTGCAACCACCTCTAAGAACAGCCATCTTAACTTCAAGAACATTATGCTGATTTTACTTATATTCGAAATTTGTATATATTATTGCATGTTGCTAAAGTTTATTCTCATTGCTGTAAGTTGTTGTAAGACTGTATCACAATTATCTATTCTACTTTGAAAGGAGTAAGTAGTGCGTTAGGTGCTGGGCTGTTGTTTGGAAGGTCAGTGGTTTGAATCCACCAGTAACACCATGGAAAAAAGAAAGGTGGGCCGTCTTCTCCCATAATAATTTATAGTCTTGAGAATCCAATGGAGTAAAAATTGAATTGATGACAGTGGGGTTTTTGTTTATTCTCTTTTTATAGGTATTTGGGGAATTTCCAGTTTGGAGATATTTGTATTCAGAGATGAATTCAGTGTATTCATAGACGAATTAAAAATATTCATAGATGACTACTATGAAAACTTTTATACGTATCTTTTGGTGAACATGCGTATATCTTTCTTCTGGTTAGAGAGCTGCACTGCCTACCCAAAGGCATACAGTTCAAATCCACTGGCAGCTTTGTACAAGAAAGAGGGGCAATCTCCTCCCACACAATTTGTAGCCTCTGCAAACCTACTGGGGAATCAGCTGTGAGTTAATTCTGACTTAATGGCACATGACAACAACAAAAACCTGGGAGTGAAATTGCTGGGTCACAGGGATGGGACTATAGTAAATAAGGCCACAATTTTTCAAAGCGGTGGGAGACATTTTCCATTTTAAAAACGGTCCTGATGATTCTAATATGAGATGGTCCTATGGAAGGCAGGTCTCAGGTGGTGTGCCTGGAAAGAGGGGGGCTGCCCAGGAGTCTGGTGCTGCTGCCCAGCTCTGGGGAGATGCACATGTCAGCTGAGAGTGAGAAGTGGACAGAAAAGGGTGCAGGCTTCAATGGAGAACTGGGCGTGAGAAATAAAGAGAGAGTCTTTCTAGGACAACAAGGAGGAAAAGGAAGAAACCAATCCCTGGGTACTGCTGTTTTTCTGGTACAGGTTCTACAAAAGGCTTGGGGAGAAGGAGGCATGAGCTACTAGAAAGGAGCAACAAAAGAAGAAACAGCTTTAAGTGTCTTCGTTGCCACAGTGAGGTACTCCAGACACACTAGCCAAAGCCTGCAGACACTATGTCATGACACTCTAATTATGAGGCGTGAATTCACTGACTGGTTATGTGCTTATCATGGTGGGAACAGGGAGGCCACTGCTGCCCTGGCCGGGGCACTAGGGGAGGACTGGGCAACCTGAGTTCCAGTGACAGCTCAGCCACTGACTGCCTCGTCTCTCTGTATTCTTGTTACAGAGAGTCCTAGTTTGATGTCCTTTTAGAACCTTTCCAGCTCTAATGGCCTATTATGTATTTTATGTCACTCAAGTGGGTGAAATGTCAAGATGTTCTGAAAAGTAGCAGGGTGCTAGTTGTGTATCTGAGGTGGTTTGGGGTGAAAATGCTGGACTATGTAATTATTTCCCCAAATGATAGAGCACAGGATAAGCCCTGTTGGATGATTTTTAGCTTGGTTTTGCTTCACTGTTGTCATTTTTTAAATTCAGGGTATGGCTGGGGAATAATGACTGGGGAGTCTGGGACAGCCCTGTATTTTCAGCAATGTGGCTCCAGGATGGCACTGCTTTTGTTTTCTTATAAAATACCTCCCATCGGTCTTTATGAAATAAAAGTCTCTCCTCTAGGGGAACGAGAAGACTCACCAACTTGCTTCACATGAGAAAGCCAGAACTCTATTGTTAATCCACAGAGAAACAGACCATGAGCCATGTCTTGTCTGAGTTATCCCAAGGCTCTGGGCCCCATGAGACTGAATTAAGGTTTAACCAGCCTCCAAATCTCACTCAGAGCAGGCAGGCTCCTTATGAAGGAAAAGCTAAGAAAGACAGAAGAAAAACGTTCCTGGACCTTCTTAGAACTTTTACATTTCCCTGAGGTTTTAGGAGAAAAATGAGACAGGAAACAGATATCCACTCTGTGGGGGAATTGTAAAGGAATGAAGTTACATGACTGAACCATTGAAGGAAGACTGGCGTGCAAAACAAAACACCAGGAGAACATAACTGCTTTCAGCAATTATACCATGCAAACAATGATTGAAAGGAAATTACTGTGGGGCTCAGATGAGAGGAAGGGAACGCTAAGATATTGTGATTATAATTCAGAATCTTGATCTGAAGGAGTATGATGAAAGTTTCAAGAGTGGGCAGATTATGTGATGTCAACATGGGGGAAACAAAAAGTAGAGGAAGGCTGAGTCTGCAGTGAAGTAGGCCAGAGATAAAGCCTGCCTGTAAGCTGTCCTGTGACGATGAGGTTGCTAGAGAGGAGGAGGTGGGGTAGCTAAGGATAGAGTCAATATTGTGAGTCAGCCGAGGAAGCTGACTGGACATATTGGATGAGTTGACAGCTGTGGGAATATTTGCACAGAGGTGGCTGGCAGAGACACCACAGGCCTGAAACGACAATAAAAGGAGCTGGAGTGTAGATTCTTTAGTCACTAGGGCAGAAATGAGAGAACATGCAGGTCGGGTGGGGATTGGGTTACCCACTGAGCCTAGATCAAAAGAAGCCATCGGACTGGGAAGGGATTTCATTTGCTCTGTGGGTTACCAGGCAAGCTCTGTGCACACACAGCTGATTGTTCCGGAGCGAACGACCAGCGTGGAGGGCAGAGGCGAGGCACCAGGCCAGGTTGCCCTGTGGCCCCTATACTGTGTGTCACACTGTAAGGTTCCTTTCTCCCCTATGAGAAAGGACCCTGGAATAAATGGTAGGCTGGGAAATGAGGCTACGATAGCATCTTACTTTGTGATGTTTAAAGGGTAATGGGGCCAACATTTGTTGAATGTTAATGCTGAATGCTAATTATGGAGCTATGCATATACTAGCTCAATTTTTTATAAGATCTATGTGCACGTCATTGTTTTATAGATGTTGATCGAAGGCTCTGGTGGTAAGAAACTGCACTGACAACTCTAAGGCACACAGTTTGAATCCCTCAGCTGCTGTGTGGGAGAAAGATTGACAATCTCTTCCTGTGCAATTTATTGCCTCTGAAAACTGGCTGGAGGGTCAGCTACGAGGCAGTTCAGACTTGAAGGTACATAGTAACTGGCATTGCCGGAAGAATAGAATGCATATACTACATTTTCCTGCATATAATTCACCTATGCAAATACATCACATGGTAAGCATAGGCAACTTTGAGGTTAAATGAGAGGTTCAACTCTACCCTAAAATGTGCGTGTTATTTGCATAAAATAAGTAACACGTATGTCTTTTAAAAATCATCTGTTAGGATAAGTGAGGCATGCCACCATTCTGAGCTGTGGGAATACAGGCGCTAACCCAGCTAGTGGGTTTCTTACTGTGGAAGTCAGGAACATGCGTGGGCTGCCCCTTTGACACAGGCCCACTCTTCCAGCCACTCACCATGTTATTCCAGAGCGCTGTGGCCATCTCTGCGTGACCGCGTTCTGAGAAGTGGAAGCAGTCTTCGGAGAAGAAGGTGAGGTCAGCGCCCCCTCTCTGTGAGAGAAGGTGTGCGGATTAGCTCCAGGGCAGGGCACCTGCTCCTCCTCTTCTCCACCCCCAGAGCCACCTGGGGCATTCCTCCCTTCACTCTTTCAACTCTGCTCCTTCTATCTCGCATCACTCAGATACTGATAAAGAAACTCCCAGACTATTCTCCGCCCCCCTCCCCAATTGATGAATGAATTTCCAGTGTCTCGGCTCCAATAGTTGAAAAAGAAGAATCTTTTTAGGAAGCTTTCCACCCCATCTGGACCCAGCAAAATCCCAAGCCTGAGGAGCTTGGTTCCTCTTGGCTTTTCTCCTTTTCTTGCCAAGAACACTCAAGTTCCAATTATACAAAAAGAGCAAAAAGGAGGAGGAGGGAAGACAGCAAAAGCAGCCCATTTGGGGTCCTGTTAGTAAGTTGTTGTTTAGAAAAAGCCAACTTGGAGAAGGCAGCGGCTCGCTGCACGGGAACATCGCGGCAATACCCTGGCTTACGTCATTCAGGGGCACCACAGTGTTTTGGAAGAAGGGCTGGACGACGACAGCGAAGTCCTCGCGCTGCATGTACCGGTGCTGGTAGGAGAGCTTGGAGACGGCACTCTGAGGATGAGGAGGGAAGCTGATCAGCCTTCCTAGCAGGACTGGGCACACCCGTCCTATTCCCGCTGCTTTGGGCTGGTTGAGCCAGAGCTACTCTAGATGAACGTCTCAAAGTGGCTTCTTAATGTGTCTGCAAGTATTCCTTTATCTGTCACCATTCTAAGAAACTACATCACGAGGTTCTACACTGCGTTTCTCGGCATCAGAGATGAGCTGGAGCGAGGGAAGTTCGCCATTCTGAAGTCTCTGCAAGCAGCTCTGAGCCACTTATTAGACTTCTAGGGCCAAAGGCCTCTTCCTGCTTTCAGTGCATGAAGAGGGAAATTAAAACACATAGCTCTTGACACCTAGGAAGCTCTGGTGGCTTACAGGTAAGAAATTGTGCTGCCAACCCAAAGGTATGAGGTTCAAATCCACCAGCTGCTACCAGGAAAAAAGATGGGCAATCTCCTCCTCTGTGTGTGATTTATTGTCTCTGAAAACCTGCTGGAGGGTCAGCTATGGGTCAGTTCTGACTTGATAGTACGCAACAGCTCTTCACAGTAGCTTCCCCCAAATGCCTGGCAGTGTCCAGGGTTATTGTACTTATAAAGGGACAGAGTGTGGAATGTCAAAAGGATAGTACACTACATGCACTTATCTTCAAAGGGGCTTATCACCTCGCTGAGAAAATGAGATAAGATGTAAAAACACTCGGAACCAGATAGGGCCATGGGGTTGGTTGAGTGCAGACTGAATTTGATCCAAGGAGTAAAGTTTAGTCAAGGGAAGCTTCTTAGGTGAGCTCAGACATGCCCCATACTTGAAAATAGATATGTTTTCAGAAAACATTTGTGTTCTTAGGAAGGGAGCGGGAGAAGAAGTGGAGAAGTGGGAGACAGGGACCCTAATGGGGCAGTTGGCACAGCCTCTCTTAACCTCTGGGTGAGTGGAGCCTGTGACCCGTCGTTTTGGTCAGCTATGGGCTGACCCAGGCCTTGGAGGCAGGGATTCGCTGAGCTTTTTTTCTTCCCCTTTTGCCTCCCTGGCCTTGGGTGTCTGATTCAACTGGGAAAATATTCCAGGGACTGTGTGATCTGCCTTTAGGGAGGGTCTTATTCTAAGCACATCTGGTTGAACACTCCATTTCTCAGTTCTTGCTCTGGAAGCAGCAAGAGGATGAATGCGAGGGCTCACCTGGAAGTTCCAGTTCAGTTGCTTCAGCTTTTGAATCTCTGGCGAGTTCTCCTGGGAGCCTCGGAGGCAAGAGCAGTTGCTCCTGTGAGGAAGAGTCTTGAGGCAGAGGGTCCCCAGTGGAGAGCGGGCTCTGTCTGCCCAGGAGGCTGCTCCCCATGGGGGCCAGGACCCCACCCTGCTCTACAGTGGGGATGAGGGGTTAGAGAGTGTGCCATACAAGTGCCCCCACAACACACCTTGACTGACTCTCAAGCCCAGATTATGAGGTATGAGGGCAAGAAGATGCTCAGCCAGAGAGAAGGTGGAAGAGCTGGAATCTGATACCCAATCTCCCTGTGAAAGGCTCCCGTCTCTGGTGGGAGAGGCTGCACATCCCCCTCCCCTACGACTCTTGTGACTCCTGGGATGTCTCCAGAGAGAACCGGGTAGGAGTTGTGGAAAGACAGCCATGATTATTTCCCAAATTCCTCCCGCTGTTTAAGACTTTCCTTCAGGGCTCCAGATTAGAGAGTCCGTTGGGAAACTGGGAAGAGTCACACAGCCGGAGACACAACTAACAAAGGGGAAGCAATAGCAGCAGATCCTTGAGGGGAGGTCACTGGCACCCCAGAAACCAGTTGACCTCCTTCTGGGGGTCAGGTTCCAGCAAGAATAGGAACCAGCTGGTCACCTTCATAGCAAAATGACTGCACCCCACAGAGGTGGAATCCTCAGCAACCTCAACCCCAAATATCCTCCACTACCAACTGTCAGGAGAACTCTGAGTGGCCCTTGGGTCACAGATGATCATTTCCCGCCAGGGTACATTTGAGTTCTAATGAATTCTGGATGGGAAACATCTGCCTTGTACATTGGGATTTACGTCCAAGCTTGAATTCCAAAGCAATCATTTCAAGAATTAGATGAAAGTTATTCTTGTTTGAGAGCAGCTTCTATCCTGCCGGCTACTTCACATGTATTTTCTCCAGATCTTGAATCTATTTTGTAAGGAAGGTGTTATCCTTCCTTTTTGTAGGTAAAAGGCCCAGAGAGATTATATAGTTTGTTGAAGGTCTCACAGTTTCTAACGGCGGGGCCAAGACTTAAGACTGGATGCAGCTGTCTTGAAAGCAATTGCACGGAACTGCCTCTCAACAAAAGGCAATAGACCAAGGTTGAACTTTGGAGTCACAGCTCTGTCAAGGTAGGTGCCTTAAGGTGCATTTGATACTTTACAGAAAAGCACACGGAGGGGAGGAGAGGAAAGAAGTGAAGTGACTTGCATATAGTGGACACTCAATGGTTTGCCAAGTCCCTGGCTAATGGCATTGCAATCCTTTGGACTTGGCTGTCTGGTTCTGCCAGCACCGACCCGCATCTGTAAGACACTGCTCTCTCCAGCATCTGTGAGCCCTTCTCTCTCCTGGTGCTGTCCCTAGACTTCTCCCCACCACTTACTGAGCTGCCAAAGGCATGGTGCACTTCCCGCCTTGGCCCTGGTGCAGACCAGTCAGCTCCATGACCTCCACCACGTTGATGAAAGTCCTGGGAAGCTGCAGGGAGCAGAGGTGGGTCACATCAGTCATTTGACACTTTGAGGGGTGGTGGACACTTGGAATTACAGGAGGAAGTCTCCTTGGCAATCCTTTCTCACTTTGATGGGGAGGAAACTGACTCAAGGGAGGGGATGTGACTTAGAAGATTTATGGACTCTTCTTTACTGTCTCAGTAGATAGGGAAGCTGAGACATAGACTTAGCTTGCTCGAGTCACATTGCTAATAAACCAGTGGTTTACTCCTGGCTGAGAACCCAGACCGGTTTGTCTAGGGGCCAGTTCTTTGCCACAATGTGACACAGACTGTGACCCTCAGCTGAGAAGTGCTCCCTCCTCCTGGGCATCCAGGTGCACGGTGACAGTGAGCCTCTGCCCAGTGAGTAGCTGGATGAACACAGCTTGCCCAGATGCACCCAGGGAAGGAGCCACGCACTCAGTGAGAACCAGACAGGTCCTTTGCTGGCAGAAAGGTGGCCCAGGCAAGTGCATTCACTTTCCTACCTCTTCATAGAAGATGTCCAAGGTTTGTTGGAGGTGCCGGACGTACTCCTCTGCTGAGTGGGCCTCCTGCAAGGAAAGAAGTGGTTCTCAGTCCCGGGTTCTACTCTGAAGGGAAGAGGAAAGTAATGAACACTCCACGCAAGAGTTTCCTAGGGGAAAGAAGAGCATCTGTGGTACTGGTCAGACTGGGGAAACCCAGGCCTTGTTGCTGGTTGGAAGCAGGACGTCTTGTACAAAGTTGTTCCTTGATCCCTACTGGACGCCGTGGACAGTCCCTACTCCCATTCTGTCTTGATCCCAAAGGCAGATTTGGGCTGCTGGTCTGGGAAGTCTTCTGGGGCATCTCTCAGCAGTGCCCAAGCATCACCCTGCCTCGGCTTTCTCCAACCGTGTGTGTGGGCCTGAGAGCCACACACTCTATTTACTCTGGGCTTTGGGCTCCACTGCCTGGCACCCTCTGCTTTCTGCACACACCTAACTTCTATTCCAGCATCTTCTCCTTGGTCCCAAATCCCCATTGGAGGCTGACTTAGATGTGTCTGCAGAGCATCTTGTGTACACAGCAAATGCTCAGTAAACGCTTGATGCCTAATCTCAGTCTTTGCTTCCCAGCACGAGGAAGACGGTCATAAGATTTTGGATATTGTCTGAGCTCCTTAGAAGATGTCAGGAGGAGCCTCATACCAGAGGGAGGCTGTTGACTCAAAGCTCCCATTTCTAAAGGGAAGAATTCATGTCTCTAGAAGGTAGGAAGAGAGGAGCAGGCAGGAAGTGAGAGTTCAAATGATCTAGTATTTCCTTAAGATAAACTGCTGATATGGGAGACTACATGCTTCAGAGCACAGAAAAGTGGCTCCACAAACAACTATTTAATGTCCCCAGTCACCAGAAGGGTGATGGGTATTCAGAGCATGTGGGAGGAATGGGCAAGAAGACAGTCTATACTGAGGACTTCAGAGAGGTTCAGGAGGAGAGAGACCATGGGTCTCCACATGTTTCTGCTCCCTTCCTTGCCGGGGAGATTAAGGCCTGGCACACTTTATAATCAATCCTTCTTGTCTCTAGATATGAACACATCATACAGGGCAAGCAGGGAGAAAGAAGAAAGAATGAAGAGAGTGTTCCCCTCTCAGGACCAGATGGAAAAAGATGCTGTAGATTCCTTACAAGCGATTCCTCTTCTGAGCCAAATGATTTTTACAGGCTAATTTTTGGAAGTAGACTGCTGGTCTTCTCTCCTAGTCTTCTTTAGTCTGGAAGTCCCTTTGAAACTTGTCCACCATGATTGACTCTACTGATAGCTGAAAACATGGTGTCATAGCTTCCAGCATCAGTCACATGAAAACCATCCCATTACAACAAGCTGAGAGATGGGTGGTGGCTCTGGGGACTAGTGGAGGACATTACTAGGTGTCCCTGTGAGTGGCTCTAGCCCCACACGGTATCCTGGAGTCCAGGACATAGTGACTTTTAAGTTCCCATTGGGCTGGGTCACTTCTGTCTCTAGAATCTGGTCAGTAAAGGCTCGAAAGAGCAAAATTTATGTGTGGAGGAGAATTTTTTAAATTATTATTATTATTATTAATTTTAATGGAAGTTTGCAGAGACTTTGGATTTCCATTCATTCATTGTTGCACTTTTCTCCCTGCCCACCCTTCCCCCTCAATTCGCTCTTCTCTTTGAAGTATAAAAGAAAAATTCTTTCATTGTTGTATAATCCCTCTCCCCAAGTCCACTCCATAGTGTAGCCTTCATTTTGGACTCTTGTCATGACAATAATACCTAATCATATATCCCTTTTAAACAGATCTCACCCTCATCTGTTTCAATGTAGTATGCACTATTTATCCCCTCCATGTCAGTCTCCCCTCAACCCTGATGTCAGTCCCGTTTTACAACAGTAACCCTATGCAATATTTGTCCTTTTGTGACTGAGATATTTCACTCAGCATAATGTCCTTCAAGGGTCAACCATTTTGTATAATATTTCCTGAGTTCCCTGTCTGTCAATGCAGCATAGTATTCCATCGTGTGAATATACCAGAGCTTCTCTATCCATATGTTTGTTGATGGGCACTTGGGTTGTTTCCAACACTTTGCTATTACGAACAAAGCCACAATAAACATGGGTGTGCATATATCTGCTTGGGTGGTGGTTATAGTTTCTTTAGGGTATATTCCAAGTAGTCGGATTGCTGGGCCAAATGGTATTTCTATTTGCAACTTTTTGAGAAAGTGACATACAGCCTTTCATAACACTTCCACCAACAGTGAATTAGGGTTCCAGTGCCTGTGGAGGAGAATTCTTATGAAGCTTTTGGTATTTGGCCTTCTCAATCCACCATGAATGATAAACTCTGGCCAGACATTTCACTGCAACCTTTGAGTTGGGGCAATTGCCTTTTCCTGGCCAAGTAAAATACAGGCTGCCCCAACTTAGAACAACTTCCAGAAGTTTGTGAGCCTGGACATATGCCCTCCATAGAAACACCCTTAGGAATGGAATTGTGTTCTGAACTTTGCCTGCTAAAGTTGGCTAACTTTTGATGTCTCTCAAGGGCGGCAAGCCACACCCTCAGGAATGGCTCAAGTTTATCCAACTTGTTTTTATAACATTGTTTTTGTCTCCTCCTCTACATGACCTCCCTTATAAGCCAAAACAGGGGCAGAGACTACGAGTGGTCATGGAGTAGCCATCTATCTGACAAGAAGCTGTGTGTGAAAGGCTGCTCTCTCAGCTGTGTCCCAAAAGTAGGTCCACCTAGAGACTTGTGGGATTGAGGAACCAACACAACTGCTCTCCTATGGGGCCCTTGGGCAGTAGGACAGGCCAGACCTCACCTGGCTTTTGTGAGCCAAGAGTTACCTGTGCTGACTCTGGTGTCTGGAGATTAGACACTTAATCCCATGACAGAGGATTGTGGGAAGGGCTGGGGCTCTGGGGAAGGAGAGATACAAAGGGCCCCAGCTCCACTCCTCAAGCCCCTGATGGGATTAACCAGAGCCTACCGGATTCTCACAGTAATGACACAAGTCGTTGCTCCCAATCAACAGTGTGATCAACTTCCAGTCTTCCTCCAGGTTGATTTCCTATGGGGACAAAAGATTCTGAGTTTAGGTCTTGAGGGGGCCACTTGTGGGTAGCGTACCATGCCAGTCAGATTCCCAAGTAGGTCTATCCTCTCTAGATCAAAGTGGAAAGAGAAGCTATGGTATGAGGTTCCCTAAGACTATGCTGGTGCTCTGGTAAGGGGCCTCCAGAGAATACTGAGTAACATGGGTGTGTGTACATGCAGATGTGTGAATGCAAGTGTGTATGTGCACGCATCCGCTTATATAGTGATCGTTGTGTAATGTTGAGTTAGAACCGACTCATAGACAACCCTCCAGGGGATTTTCAGAGGCAATAAATCATGTGGAATATTGCCTGTCTTCCCCCCGCAGAGCAGCTGGTGAACTTGAACCGCATGCCTTTGGAACTGCAGCACATTTTCTTACACTAGGCCACCAGAGCTCTCTCACATAGTGATAAAAAAAGCAGTTCATGGTGAGACAGAGTGCAAGTGTTCTATACTTTCTTGCACCTGTAAAAGGCCAAATGGATTAACATGCCCCTGAAATGTGATCCCAAGGTCTTCAAAGGAGCCAAAGGGGGGCGGGGGAAAGCTTCTAGAAGCAAAAGCAGTTGTACATCATCAGGGAACTAACTGCCTGTAGTCCAAACTGGATTCAGGAGAGGATGTGGAATGAGGCCATCATTGTTAATGCCAGATGGAGTTTGGTTGCAATCAGAGAATACCAGGGAGATGTTTACCTGTGTTTTATTGGCTATGAAAAGGCATTTGACTGTGAGGATCATAACAAATTACGGATAATGTTGAGAAGACGGGGATTTCCAGAACACTTATTTGTGGAATCTGTACATAAACTAAGAGGCAATAATATGGCTAAAAAAAAAGAATACCAGGGAGATGTTTACCTGTGTTTTATTGGCTATGAAAAGGCATTTGACTGTGAGGATCATAACAAATTACAGATAATGTTGAGAAGACGGGGATTTCCAGAACACTTATTTGTGGAATCTGTACATAAACTAAGAGGCAATAATTTGAACAAAAAAAAAAAAAAAAGGGAATGCTGTGTGGGTTAAAATTGGGAAAGGTGTATGTCATGATTGTATCCTTTCACCATACTTATTCAATCTGCACGATGAACAACAATGACAAAAAAAATAATACAAAAAACTAAACTAAATTATGTGGAGAAGGATGTGTCATTCAGGATTGGAGAAAGACTCATTACATAATGCTGAAAGGGTCAGTAGAACAAGAGGACATAACAATAATAAATAT